GCTGTCGAGCCATTCGTCCGCTGTTTCAGGGGAATCGTCAGGGTTCTCAGAGTCCTCTGGGCAGGGGCTCTCTACGAGACAGCGCATCTGGGGCTTGGTGGCGCGTTGCTGGAACATGTACGAGTTTGAATGGGAACATGAGAATGCCTTGGATCCATCGATTGATTGTGGCATTGGGGAAGCAGTCTGGGTTGTTAAGCATCTGCTTGATGTATAAAGCGTCCACTTCCACTTCCAGGTTCTTCACTCCTGCTAGATGTAGTCTGAAGTGCCGTAGCGCCCTGAATAGACCGTATAATTCGAGTTTGGGCTGACTATAGTTAGCTTCTACTGAGTTCATGGGTATGGAGCCATATCGAGCTGGTCGCTTCTTGCCGTTTTCGTCTCGTTGAGATAACACGAACCCGACGGCTATTTGGCTTGAGTCGACCGATAGCACTACCGTTCTGGAAGATGTGTAATCAATAGGCATGAGGGCAGGTGCGCTACATACTTTGTCCTTAAGCGTCCTAAATGCTTGAAGTCGCCTTTCGTCCCATTCAACTTCGGCATCCTTCCGTACCATTTCTGTCAATGGTCGCGCGTGTAGGGAGTAGTCTTTGATCCATATTCGCACTGTCCCGCAGAGTCCTAGGAATCCCCTTATAGCTTTAGTGGTCTGGGGAAGGGGCCACTTTCGTATTTTCTCGATTGCCGAATCGTTAGGGTACCGTCCGTCGGGTGTGCATTTGTGCCCTACTACAAGTACTTCTCGCTTGCAAATTTGTGTCTTCTTTCCTGAGAAGGTTGCTCCGGCTTCTCCGATGCGGTGCATAATCCGATGAACATCATTGATGTGTTCCCACATAAAGCGTCTGATGCCGGGGTTATTGCGTAGTGTTTCAGGGTTGCCCTTCTTGTCCAGGTACATAGTAGTCGCCCCTTTGATGGGTAGGTCATCTATGAAGATGTTGGCTACATGCGGTATTTCGTCCTGCAGGATGAACATCATACAGGCTTGGAACTCTGCTGGGCTATTAGTAAATCCCATGGGCAATGACGCAATGCGCAGCAGGCCTAGAGGTGTCATAAATGACGTCATGTCCCTGCTTTTGGGGTCGAGTTTCCTTGCATAGAATCCCCAAAATAGATCAAAGACCGTATACACGACTCGTCCTGCGAAGGGTTCGACGAAGTCATCCAGATTGGGAGGTAGGCCTGCATCCCTGATAGTGACCGCATTAAGTGGCTCTAGGTTGTGGACTATTCGAAGCTTGCCGTTTTTCTTTGCTACGCAAAACCACTTTGACCGATATGACGATTGACTTGGTTCGTATACTCCATGAGCGATAAATTCTTTGAGCATGCGAATGACTTCTTCTCTGTGTCCCGGAGGTATAGGTATGTTCGGGTGCTCCCAAGGGACATGCGGTTCCACCGGAATGATGTAGGGTGAAAAATAATCGTCTCTGAAAATTCCCCTTTCATGGTCTTCAAATGCGAGCGCACGCTCATTCTTAACTAGAACATGCTTTATCAGTTTCTCCTCTTCTGGCCATAAATAGTGGTCACTATTTATGTCCATAGTATCCATGCGTTCTTGGGTTATTTTCCGAGTAGGAACAAAATCAGGTGGGCGCTCTGGTAATTCCGTCAGGCCAATCAGCGGGTTGCGAGGGAATTGTCTGGTTACTTTGGCATCCTCTGGGTATACTCCTGGTACTGGCTTGATTTTCCTGTCTACTCTTTTATACGCGCCAAACACTAGAGCTGGATTTTTTATAAGTTCATTTGTCGGTACTTTTTCGCAATTTGGTCCGGTTTGGCCAGATTCCTGGGAGGCTTTCCCACGGTTAATAGGTAGTTCGTTCGAGGTTTTACGGGCCTTACTATTGGCATAATTTTCAGCTGTTATCTGTGCTGCGTTCGGGCTAAAAGAGGATTTTTGTGAGTCGAGATATGTTACCTCGGGTTGATCTTGCATATTCTCCGGTAAATCCGCCGCGTTTCCGAGCCATATCGCCGTGACCCACTCATCCTCCGAAATTTCAAAGTCCGACGGCCCGGTGGGTGGCGCTTCAGAAACTCGAAGTCCGAGGCTCAGGATTTCCGGATGCTCGATCGGTAAGTCTTCTTTCAAAATCGATTCTCTCGAGCCGTACATGATTTGCGGAGCAACAGGCGTAGCTACAGTAGTTAGGAGGCCTTTCATAACCGAGGCGGAGGTTCGTTACATAGCGGAGGGTCCGTGATATAAGTTCGACGGTCCGGACGCGAGAGTACAGGTACATAGTTCGTTAGTAGCCTAGGGTTCGTGGTTACGGAATGGCACGAGCAAGTGCTCGCGGTGCGAAGAGACAGGGTGTCTGCGGCGATATTGTACAGGCGAGGGTCCGAGTCCCGAGTGTTCATAAGTTCGCGAAGGGTCAGTTTGATTCGGCGTTCACGGCTGGACGTCGTTGAAGTCGGCGGCGGATAGTTCCATGTCGGAAGAGGTGTCGGGGCTGGGCGAGAGCGGGCTAAGTTCCTTGCCTGCTGAGCGGGAGTCAGCGCGGGCGGGGGTTTGACAAACAAGAATAGCGTACCGTCTGCCTCGTCGGCATCTTCGGGTGTCCAGTTCCAGGCCTCGACGTTCGTTCGGATCGCGCCGATGTCGAGCTGGAGGTCGAGGAGGTCGCGGGCGATTCGGTCCATCGACATTTGATGATCCGTATCGGTTTCGCGGATGGTACGGGCGGCGGTTTCGACGGTGTCGTAGATCGAGGTGAGGTTCGTTTCGAGGTCGAAATGGTTGTTCTGGGCGGCGCGATAGAAGGCGGCGTGGCTGGATAGTAGCGTAGCGACGGCGGCGACGGTGAACTGCATGGCTTCTCCGAGATGAGCCATCCGGTTGTTGACTGATCGAAGAATGTTGGCGAGAGATCGGCGAGGGGCCGCGAAGGAGATCGAGCTGGAAGAGGACGAACTGTCGGAGTAGGAGAGATCGGAGTCGCTTAGTTTTTTGCACGAGTCGGGGTAAGCGATGTCGGTAGGAATCCAGGAAGAGATGACATACTCGGCGTCTGTTGGCGTAGCTTTGCGGCGATCGTCTGAGAGGTGGTTGACTGGATCGGGATCGTTGATGCGGAGCCGGTCGTACTCGGCGAGGAGCATTTCCTCGTCGACGTTCGGGAGTGCGGAGGAGTCGCCTTCGTCCGGTCCAGGCGAGCAAACATCGGGCGAGTTAAGTCGCCTAGTCCAGTGTCGGGGGAGCGGGAAGGTCATATCTAAGTAATCGAAGAGGGCTTCGTCCATCCAGAGGAACGGATCCGTCTCTTGAATGACGCGGCTGGCGGCGTGAGGCTTCGGCGAAGGCGGGGGTGAGAACTCGACCGAGAAGGGGAAAGGGTGTTCGTTCGGGTCTTCGGGGGCACTAAGGATGAGGTTGTAGAGTCGGGAGTTAGGGTAGTCGTCCGTAGGTGGCTCGGGTGTTGATGGCGCTGAGAGAGGGCGGAATAACGTCGGGTCCATACGCGAGAGGGCGTGGATAGTGTTGCGGTACCCCTCCGGCGTCCTCAGTCGCATGGGGACCTTGATACGCTGGCTGCTGGCGGGCGGTTCGCCGATCGGGACGATGTAGCCGTCGCACCGATAGAACGGCATGCCGGGTCCTGTGAGGAGAGCGTGACCCGGCGGGAACTGTGCGAGACGATGTGCGATGGCGCCTTGCAGAGCCTGGGGGTGCGGCGTTGGCGGGCGGTCATTCACCGAGTGTCCTTCGGCGAGTCGCAGCCGTTCGAGGTGTCGGGCGATGTCCTGGCTAACCGAGGGGTCGAGACCGTTCGGGAGCTGGAAGATAGAGGGCGGTCCGCTTAGGGCGAGCGGAGGCGGCGACGGGAGTACGAGAGCGTTGACGCGGGGCGGTCCTTGGAGACTAGGCTCCTCCATTTCGACATCATGTAGGTCTAGTGTATCGTCGTAGTCCTGTATTTTGGTGAGTTTGGGGCTTGGACAATTGAGTGCGATCTCGGAGCTCACCTTTGTGCGCGCCCGTTCTTCGACTGCGTGATGTGCGGCGTAGGCGAGCTGAGCGAACAGCGAGCGGGCGACGAACATCCGCGGAGTGAAGTCGTCCGTCGAGCGAGGGGAGAAGTCCGAGCCGGCAAGGGGGTAATGGCTGGCCTTCATCTTGGCGCCGCCGAGTCGAGGGTCGAAATTCGAGATAAGATCGATAACGTACGTGCAAGACTCGGGATATTCCAGAGTCGGCGGATCGGGCGTGGCGGGAGCGGAGAGCGGTCGATACATGTGCGGGGCTTCTTCGTACAAGTCGTGAATCGAGCGCGTGAAGCCTGGCGGAGAAGCAGCGCGTACGGGGAGCTTGAGACGCATGTCGCTGTCCGGCGGCTGTCCTTCGGGCACGGCGAATCCGTCGGCGGGGTAGTAGATGCCGGGAAGGTCGGTAAAGAACGAACGAGTCGTACTGCCAGCTTCCTCCCGATCGTGAGCGTCCATGGCGAGCCGGGTAGTTTGCGCAATGAGTAAGAAGATCTTGTGGCTGATGTAGAGGACCGCGGTGGGAGTGTGAACGCGTCGTCGCGAAGTGCCGGGGAGAACCTGGTCGTACGCGGCCTTCAGCATGCGGTCTTCCAAGACGGGGTCGTCATGGTTGACAAGCTCGATTTTGTAAGTCAGAGAAGCAGGGTAGAGATCCGAAGGAGGTTCAGGTGTCGCGGGTGCAGATAGCGGGCGGTAAGTCTGGGGTAATTGATTTGATAGGTCGTGGATGATCCTGGGGTAACCGGGCGGCGAGGCGGCGCGAATCGGGACTTTGA